TAACTTTGCTGCATAGACTAGAAGAAAACGAAAGACTAGAAGAAAACAGCCAGAGTAAGAATCCGCAAAGGGAACACAGACGAAGACTGGAGTTGAGAGTAAAAGCACCAGGGAGGAGGAAGGCGGCAACCAGGTCACACAGGAGGGCATGTCGGATCATCTGAGCCTGGAATGCCAGACAGAACAGCTGACAGGAAGGCAAGAGAGAACTGCTGCAGCCCTCAGGGGGCCTGTCACCAAAGCAGTGGTTCAGGGAGATAAAGAGACACCGTGTGCAGAGCAGATGGAAGAGGCCAGGAAGCAAAGAGAACCAGCATGGTTAGGGCTGGAGAGCGTGGGTCTGAAAGTCAGACTTCTGGGGTTCCAGCTCCAGAAAGCCCTTTGACCTCTCTGTGAGTGAGCCACATCTCATTACTGAGATGGTAAGATTAAATTCTTTGCAAGGTTGTCACAGGGTAAGCTGGGTTAAATATTTGGAAGCATTTAGAGCAGGGCCTAGCACACAGATGCTAAATAAATAAGTAGAAAGAATAAATAAATTTCCAGGAAGAGGTGATCTCAGGCACATTGCTTAATTTTCTTAATAATCTAACCCTGAAAACGACAGGCAATCACTCACTGAGGCCACCCTCCTGATGACAAAAGATGAAATCATTTCAAGCTTTACCCCAAAACCAACTTACACTTCTTATTCCTGTTTTTTTATTGATTTCAGAGAGTAAGGGAAAGGGAAAAAGAGATAGAAATAGAAACATCAATGATGGAGAGAAGAATCATTGATCAGCTGCCTCCTGCAGCCCCGCACTGAGGATTGAGCCCACAACCCAGGCATGTGCCCTGACCAGGAATTGAACCCTGACCTCCTGGTTCATAGGTCAAGGCTCAACCACCAAGCCACGCCAGCTGGGCTTATTCCTAATTTTTTAATCAAATAGTTTTAATACTAGCAGCATCCTGGGCCAAACTTTAATTCTAAAAGTTGCTTTTCTGGATGCTTTTCTCTGCACCGTGCTGGTTTCAGACCAGTATTTGGTGGGTTCTTAAACACATATCTGTTGAAAATGAAAAGCAGAAGTGTCACCATGGGAACCAGGCAGGAAGACCAAACTCACCTCGGGTTCTGAAAAAGAAAGGGTGATAATTGCTTTCATTTTTAATGGAAGGAAAAGGGACAATCTTTACAAAGTAATCCGTCTCAAACTTCATATTCAGGAAAGGTTGAGACTCCATTCCCTGGAAGGGAACAAAAACACACGTGACGTCATGGAGAGATGACCCACCCTCCACCTGCCCGAGAGAGCTCGGTCCTCCCGTTCAATCACCGGACACACCAGAGCTGGGGACGGGTCCCAGGGAAGGAGGAAGTCAGGGCTGTATTTTCTGGATCCAGTTTAGGTTTGGATCCCTCACCAAAAATGAGGATCAACAATGCCCTGAAAGGGAACAAAAACACACGTGACCTCATGGAGAGATGACCCACCCTCCACCTGCCCGAGAGAGCTCGGTCCTCCCGTTCAATCACCGGACACACCAGAGCTGGGGACGGGTCCCAGGGAAGGAGGAAGTCAGGGCTGTATTTTCTGGATCCAGTTTAGGTTTGGATCCCTCACCAAAAATGAGGATCAACAATGCCGTCTGTTGTTTGGCAAGGAAGCCAGAGCTTTTAACTCTGAACTTCGAAGATGGTGGGGAGGCGCCCACAGACACTCCCGGGAGCACAAAGCCACCTCCACCTCCGGGACGGCTATCCAGCGCGTAACCCGAGAGACGTGTTTACCAGCAGAGGTGCTGGAGGCTGCTCGGGGAGTGTGCAGCCGGCTGGCAGTGTTGCCCGCCATTGTCGCCCACCTGGGCAGGTGGGGCGGCCCCCACAGCCCCTCCTTCTCCGGTTTCACAGACTCTGAATAGCCCATTCAGACCCCCGGAACAATGGTCTTCAGGAGCACATTCCCGCGTGCGACTCACAGTTCTTTTGAAGCTACTGTTGAGCTGCTTCGGGTCCTTGAGAATCAGTTGCTGGCACTGTCTGCCCTCCGACTTCAGCTCCTCCAGGATTACCCGAAATCCTTTCAGGAATTCGATGCCTAAGCAAAGCAGAATGCTTCTGTTAAAGGTGGACCTACTTGCTTTTGAACACACTTTCCTTCCTCCAAGATTATTGTCCTGTCCGCCTACACAGCAGTGAAAGGAATTCTTACTGTGGCCAGCACATCTGAGCTTACAGAAAGGAAGGACACACTCTGCATCCGTCCGGGACAGGCCAGGTGACTTTCCCTGCCACGCCGTAACTATTCATTAACCTCCAACCCGGCCAGCCAGGTCACAACTGCCCACTGCCTCTGTGACCGTAGGGTTCAAATACTTAGACTCAAGTCACAATTGGTCATAAAACGTCTGCAGTGGAATACATAATTCCTAGGTCATTAGCCAGGGTGTATTCAACTGATAAATCACCGGGCTGACTAGGGACTCTCCCCAAACTATGTTTCCACATTAAACTGTAGTCCTGTATTTGCTGGCATGTTTCAATGAGCAACATACAAAATTCCCAACAAAAGTGTGTGTCTGCACCCAAGGGGTTCCTAGGCTTGAGATTAAATAGACGGCGAGAATGCCAGTGGGATTTACAAAGCGCTTCTTGCTCTAATCTTGCCTGAAAGGCAGACACCCAAGAGCTGCCCAGTGTGTGCAGCACAGAGGCCCCAGACGCCCACAGCGCCGCTGAAAGGCGCCGGCCCAGCCTCCCGCCACCTGAGCTTCCCCCGCTACACGTTGGACTAGATGCTTTCAAAAGGATTAAGCTCTGATGTCCACAAGAGCCAGCACCGGGCTCTGTATCCCATGGAGACTGGAGGAGTCCAACTGCAGCTGGAGGTCCCCCCGGCCGGCCTCAATTGGCACGATATCGATTTCGCATTCTTTCTGCACACTAGACAAGGAGAGTTCCCAACCCTTCCCCTCCCAGGGCCAAAGTAATTACACAGGATGCAATTAACCAGGTGGGAAAATGAGGGATGGCAAAGGCCAGGGAAATCTTTTTCTCTTTCAAATAGGTTCTCCAATCCTGTAACTTTTTGATTAAAAGCACATATTTTATGGTGGGCCGGGCAAAGGAGCGACAGGTAGAGCTTCCTGTTTTAGGGAGTCTGCACATAGTGTGTGCAGGTAGAAACTGTTGTATTTCAAGTACAAAGCTTCCTGCGGGGGTGACACCCAGCTGACAGGCAGCCCAAGGTTCAAACATACTGACAAGATCCGGCAATTATTCAGTAGAATTCAGGGGTCCTCAAACTTTTTAAACAGGGGGCCAGTTCACTGTCCCTCAGACCATTGGAGGGCCGGACTATAGTTTAAAAAAAAAACTATGAACAAATTCCTATGCACACTGCACATATCTTATTTTGAAGTAAAAAAACAAAACGGGAACAAATACAATATTTGTATTTGCATGTGGCCCGCGGGCCGTAGTTTGAGGACCCCTGGACTAGTATTTGCTCAACTCTCATCTGTCTGCTGGTTCAACTACTGTTCAGGGGGAAATAGTCTGCTTAACACTTTCAGAGAGGAAGGAGGAAAAGAGATAGAAACATCGATGACGAGAGAGAATCATTGATTGGCTGCCTCCTTGCTCGTCCCACCCCCAACTGGGGATCGAGCCCGCAAGCCAGGCATATGCCCTGACCAGGAACCAAACCTTGACCTCCAGGTCCATGCCAGCCATGCCTCCCCAAAATTGTTTTTAACGAATTCTTATAATTTATATTAAGATTTAATTCATGCAATGCCCCATAGAACTACTACTTTAACAAAAGCCTGGTAATGAATATGATTAAAGAGCATACATGTCACAATTATATAAAAATTAATGTAACTAATTACATTAATGTACAGGGTGGGAGTGGGTGGTTCTAGTCCTTAGTATTATTATTAAATTGATTTTAGAGAGAGGGGAAGAGGTAGAGAAAGAAAGAGCAAGAAACATCGATGTGAGAAAGAAACATCAATTGGCTGCCTACCGTACGTGCCCCAACCAGGGATCGAACCTGCAACCTAGGTATGTGTCTCGACTGGGAATTGAACCCACAACCCTTTGGTGCACAGGTCGATGCCCTAACCAACTAAGCCACACTGGCCAGGGCTCTAGTCCTTATTTTTTAAAGACCTGCCAAGTCTGGGAGGAGACAGCAAATGTAAATCTTAAATCACAGTAACACCTTTATCACAATTCTATTAGCATGTATATTATACTAGAGGTCTAGTACACGTGAGATTCATGCACGGGCGGGGGGGGGGGGGGGTTCCTCAGCCCGGCCTGCCCTCTCTCACAGCCTGGGACCCCTTGGGGGATGTCCAACTGATGGCTTAGGCCCGCTCCCCACAGTCAGAAATCCTTAGTGCTGCCATGGGTGCAGGCAGCCGTGGGCCTGGCTCAGGGCTTCTGGCTGAACGGCACTCCCCCTATGGGAGCGCACTGACCACCAGGGGGCAGTTCCTGCGTTGAGCGTCTGCCCCCTGGTGGTCAATGCGCATCATGGCAACTGGTTGTTCTGCCATTTGGTCAATTTGCATATTACCCTTTTATTATATAGAATTGTAGTTATATAATGTTTGGCAATTTTATAGGACAGCTTCCCTTACAGCAGTGGTTCTCAACCTTCTGGCCCTTTAAATACAGTTCCTCATGTTGTGACCCAACTATAAAATTATTTTCATTGCTACTTCATAACTGTAATGTTGCTATTGTTATGAATCGTAATGTAAATATCTGATATGCAGGATGGTCTTAGGCGACCCCTGTGAAAGGGTCGTTGGACCGCTAAAGGGGTCGCGACCCACAGGTTGAGAACCGCTGCCTTACAGGAACTTTTTACCCCTTCCCATTACTTAAGTCATTAAATCCTCCTAACAACCATAGATAAAACGTATTACTATTCCCATTTTATTGATGAAGAAAACTGAGGTGTAGAGACACTAAATGACTTGCCCAGGGTCACACAGAAAATTAAATGGCAGAGGTAGGACTCAAACCCAGAATACTCTTAACCCATGTTTTTCTGGCTCCCAAAGAGCTTCCTTGACAGAAACTCACAGAAACAGATAGGACCTGTCCTACAACCTTCTGCCACACTGTGCCACATTCTGGTTTCCTACCACCAACTCACATCTCTTCCTTTCATCCTAAAGAGGGAGCCTGCCACTCGTCAGGCCAACCCCTTAGCCATTTAGCCTTACATGGAGCGACCACTTCCCTTTTATCCACAGAGAACGTTTGTATCTTTAAATGTTAAGATAATGTTATTTTTGGAAACCCAGTGGGTTCAGACCCAGCAGTACTGACATGGATAAGTGAGTCAGGCCCACCGGTCTGACTCATCCTCCCTCTCCCTGCACTCACCTCTCCTGCAATCTGGTTCTTCTGAGATTTATCCCATTCAGATTTTAAAATTCAGACTTTATTTTATTTTTCCCTTGGCCAGATTTTTTTTTTTAATACTAAGATTGGGTAGCAATGCCAAAGGACCAGGTTCTGATGATGATAACAACAACCACAATTTTTTAAGAACTCTCTCTAAAAAATGGACTGTATGTGTGTCTCAAATTCTTACAACAAACCAAGGGGCAGTCACCTGCCCTTCACAGATGGGGAAGCTGGGGCTGAGGGCTGAAGGCTTCTTGTGATTCTGGGTTCAGACCCAGGCCAACTTCAAGAAATGGACCCTTCCAAGCCCCACAGTCAACTACGCCATCCTCCCCTGCGTACCATCAATTCATGAACGAGGACAAGCAGCGTGGCCCTAACCTGAGTCTGGCCAGATAATGTGGGTTTGCTTTTCCTCTTCCTTTCTTTCAGTTTGGTTTCTCCGGCCCACACGGTTTAAATAAAAATTCAATTCGTTGCCAACATTTAAAAATTGTTGGTTTCATGGTTTCTCATGAAAACTGAGATTTTCCTGAAAACTCACAAAATGTGCCAAAGCTGGGCCTGCACACATCTGCGAGGCTAGAGACCATTAATGCCGGATGCCAAAGCCTTCACGTCCTTGGATGGGCCACCCATCCTCCCACTGCAGCTGAGACACAGAGGCCAAGCAAGGCCTGTGCCATTTATCACTCACACACTAGCATGTTTCAAAGCCACATCTCTCTCATTCACAGCCAAGGGAACAAAAGAGGAGCCACAGGGCACAGCATCGAGCCGTGAACATGCCCAGCATAAAAGTAGGAGGTGTGTCCGTGCCCAAGACAACCAGAGCTACTCTCATGTCAAGACCTGCCTGGCCCCCAGAGGCCGTGAGGTCTGGGCCCCTTGCACTGGGCACTACCCACCCAGGCCACCTCGGTGGACTCCATTCTGACCACTTACCAAGGGCCCCTGGGGACCAAAGAATGGTGACTGCCACTTGGTCGTGGCAGGCGTACTGGCTGATGGTGATGTTCTGGGCATCGGCAATCACGTGCTTCCCCACTGGATTCAAGTATGTGGTACAGTCTAGAGAGTTGGGAGAATAAGAACAGTCACGTTTAGAAGTTTTTATTTCCAAGTTCATCTTCTCAAATTACATAAAGCATGTCTGCAGGTGGCCAAATCCATTCTGTGTGCCTCAGAAGCCCAAATGCGAGATCAAAGGTTGACTGTTTGGAAAAGTATAAGGTGCTGCAGTGAGATTTATTTATAGCACCATCCCCACACCCACCCTACCCCTTGAATTAAATCCCAGGACAATGGTTAGAAGTATCCTTTGTGGGCTAGAGTTTGTGTGTGTGTGTGGCATCAACTTTTTTACTATTTTGAAATTTTACCCAAATCAATAATTATTTACATTCATTCAATCAGTTTTCAGCATTAGAGAGTGATTTGAAACAAAACAATGATTGAATAATTGGGTTTGCTTGTTTTCAGAAGAAACCTCGAGGGCAAGGTATCTGGGGGAAAAGGAAATAAAATGAGGATGTGAATCCATGGGAGAGTGAAGACTTAACCAATTAGAAGCTGCAAAAGATACTGACTGACTTAGTGATAGGCCAAGCACCTCCCCATGTTCACCAGCATCGGCAAAGGTGAAACTTGTGTTCCCACACACCAGGTGTCATCAAAGGCACCACACACCCACCAGACCCAGAATCCACGCTGCTGACAAACAAAAAACCCGGCCCTTGGATTTTGTCTGAGGCCCTCGTTCATGCCACCTGCGAATGCAGCCACGACCGCGGGAGCAGCTGTGCCACCTGGTTTTGCTAAATACACCTTCAGAGTCTGCAAGATCCTGAAAGCTGCCAGCAGCTTCCAGCCAGACGGCGGGCTGGGACTTCTGAGAATGGCCGCAGGCCCTTCTGGCCACTCATTCGGGGAGAGCCACCAGCCATCCCTGGCGTCACCACGTCATATTCTTATGCTGCTTCGTCTCCGTTCCCTTCTCGATGGTTAAGCTTGAAAACCATCTTTAGGATCTGCTGCAGCAGGTCTTCAATCCCATCAACGCTACCCCTCCGAGGTCGGACTGTTTTCCTTTGCCGCGAAGCTTCTAAGAAGCTCGCCGAGTCTGCTGTACTCCCTGTCTCACCACCCCCCAAAACCAGACCGCACAATTGCCATATTCGGGACTAAAAATGTCCACTGGATATTTAAAGAGTAAGAGACAATATTAGAAAGACATGAACATCACCCAGAACGTCCCACCACACAGAAGTAACTGCTAACCTCTAATGGGCAACCTTCTAAGCTCTGAACGTGCATGTGGTCTTCCTCCTTTTAAAATTTTCTTATTAAAGTACAACACGCTCACTAAAACACAGAGCTCCGTTTTACAGCTCCACCCTCCACACTGCTTTGTGTCCTGCTTTCTTGCCTGACCACATCAAGTGTTCTCCCATCAGCTTCAAAAACAGCCCTCCCACATTTCAATATTACTTCTTCTGAAAAGATGCTAATCATCGATAAAACTGAATTCTACTTCTGATGAACATTCACTCTCAAAGCATTCAACATGTGTTCTCTGGGTGCAGGAGAGAATTTTACAATAGGGAAAAAAGTTAAACATCTGGTGCAATATCCTCATTACACAAATGAGGAAACTGAATCTAGAGAGGTCCGCTGGGTGGCACAGGATTCACCACTGACCAGCCCAGGGCCAGGGCAGAAAGCAGCCTTGGATGCTCATGCAGGACTCCTGTCATTCCATCCTCAACACAGAGCTTATTACTCGAATGAGTTCTAAATCAGAAGTATTCAGCCTGCAAAGATCCTGGCTGTGCACAGCTTTCCAGTATAAGACACGGCAAGATCCCCTCACACCTGCAAAGTTCCAACATTTTCACTTATTGAGGTCAATAATCAAAGAGAAACCTTTGACTTCAACAGCTTTAGGAAAAGATGGGTGAACAAGAGAAAATCATGGTTGTTTTCTTTGTCCAACCCTAATGCCAAAATTAGCACTCTCCTGCTCTCTGTAAATACAATTATGCAAATAAAAAGTCTAAGAATTAAGAAAAATGTATTACAACCTACTCAAGCATTTCCCCCCTCAGAGCCTGAAGAAGAAAACTAGAAATGCAACGTGAAAGGAGGCAAGGAGACCGGTGACATTTGGTTATGATTTAATGGCAAGGTATTTTCTTTCTTTATAACATCAAATGGCAAAAGAATAGAAAAATAAGATTTTGTAGTTTAATACTTTTGGTGAAAACTTGGTAATTGGTTTTTAGCTATTTCAAACAGAACTAGCAACCAGTCAACTAAGCAATAACAGGAACTTTCTTATGGATGAGAGAAATATATTTCTCAATGGAAAACAATAAATGTACTTTACACAGCCTGGATCCAATTATTAGCAACTCTAATGTTTTGGATTTTGGTTACAAAAAAAATTATGCCCAAATGACATTTTGCCAAAATGCAACTGAACTTTAGATGTCTCAGGAGTCAATTCCAGTTGTGAATTAAATTCTAATTAAATGCTGCAAAATCAGAAAGAAAATAAGAGATATGCACTGGCACATGGGCCAAATATCTAGTCCCATGAAGAAAACAATAAGATACTTTTAAGTTTCACAGGTACAGATCCTCTTTCACAAATCCCCCTATTAAATGAGAGATGCAAATACTTGTTTGCAGCTGACCGGAAAATTCTGAACTTTTGAATGTAATACAAGATCTGCCAGGACCAAGAACACTGACTAGAAATTAACTTTCTAACTCAAAGAAAGATCCCTTACACATGTCTTTACTTAGCTGAATTAAGTATCACGGACTCACAAATCCTTCATTAGAATCACAACGTGTACCAAGAACATGCGCACACTGCGAACGTGAAATGACTGTTTCACCTGCAAGTCCTCACTGGTAAACTTAAAGACCCAGGTAGGCAACTGCGGGCATGCATTCGACATACATACTTGTATCTCAAAACTGTTAGACTGTATACACCCCCTGGGAAGCCCTGCTCTAGTTGTGATCATTCCAGAGGCCCCGTGTGTCCTTCACTCCTCACTTATTACATGGACTCTCATAACCCTTCCCCCAGAGATGAATCAAAGAGCAGGGGTCACTGAATACTATCAAGCTCCTTCTTGTCATTTTTACCTGTAAATTATGGCTCAGAAGGCTAAAATGCTCACAGTTGTATATAATTACCTTCGTGGGCATGAAAGCCCAAGAAGAGGCTATATATGCTTAGTCAGAAAAAGCACCCCCACCTTGCCCTCAGGAAACACTTTGGCCAGAAAAAGTCACGTAGCCTTGAGAGAAGGGGCGAAAAAGGTGCCTGTGTTCCAACTCCAGTTGAAATAACTTCTAATATTAACAGATGTCAATTACCGAGTGCAGGTCAGCTACCGGCGAGCGGTTGCTTTGTTTAAGCCTCAGATGATGCTGAGGAACACCTTAGGTTGGTTAGCTTACTTTTGTACTTTACATGCATTAAACTACTACACTCATATGCCAAAAAAAAAACCCCCACAAAATTACACTAAGGAAGAAATTTTTTTAATTAATCTTTGTTTGATCATGAGAAAACTGATGCTTGGAGAAGTCCAATCGCCTGATTTGCTCAGTGGGGAACCAGGGTTGGAACCCAGGCCTAAGTCGGAGGCGGCAGCCAACCGAAGGCCCGTGCGCCAATCTGGAACAGACGCACTTGGCCCACTCTGTGTGTCTGAAAACTTTTAAATAAATGCCAGTATTAAAAAATGTTCATAAAAACATGCAAATCTCCCACTCTTCTTGGAAATCACTTCTGGCTATCCTCAGGGGGAATTCCTCAAGGCCACAGCAGCTGGCACCGGGAGCCAGTGCCCTCTGAGGGGACAGCGCCATCTGTGCCACAGCCCCTACCACTCCCAGCATCCTGCACCGGGCAGCCCTGCTCACATGTCCCCTGTGGGACCCTACAGACAGCTGCCTTTGTTCTTAAGGACACGGCCACATCCTCGGGCAATCAGGGGAGGCCTCCATACACAGCTTCTCCAAACACCACGGAGGACGCTTGAGCCGTCCCAAAGTCCTGAGTGGCTTAGTTGAGACTGAGCTGCTTTCGCTCTGCTGACAAACCTGAGCGGGTTCAAAAGATTCCTTAACCCCAGGCCCTGCAGGGTCCTTGATTAAGTGCGACCGTGTAAGCCTCAGATCACTCACGGGGCTCCATTCTTCAGAGGTCAAGCCAGTTACTTACTGTCATATCTGAAGGTGATGTTGTGCAGCCCACTGTTTCTGCTGGCCGGCCCCACTCCCTGCGGGAAAACAAGAAAACATGATGAGGAGGGAAGCCAATTTGCTTTTCCGGCACCAATCCCCATGGAGTCAAAACGCACACATGACCACAGAGACCCGGGGTCATGCCCGTCCTCACTCTTTCCCAGCACCGGGCCCCTCTGGCTGCCCAACTCCCTCCGGCCCAGGAGATTCCGAACTGTGGGCCGTGGGGACCAAGAGCACTCACTTCCCCTAAGACAATAGGAGCAGGCTGTTCTCCGTTTGAGGCTTAAATAATAATTCATTAACAGTAAAACTGGGAGAGACAGGAGTTGCCAGCTGGAGCCCTCCCAGTTGGTTATAAAGCACTGATTGGTTATAAAGTCACCTACCAGACACTCGTCCAAAAGCTCTATTAAGCCACGACAGATAGGCAATTCCTCAAGTCTAAGGAAACAGGTTTCTCATTCCAAGACCAGGAATGAGTGTGGGAACAAGCTGTTACTTTTAATGAGAAAATTCTTTTCTGCATCCATACCTTTGCTTGGAATATATAGGGTGGGTTATAAAAGAAAAAGAAAAAAGACTTTAAAAGGTCTAACTCTAACTCTTGGTGATGTGGCTGTTGGCCATCTGCACTCTTAGCAGCAGGGATAACAACTCCACCAGACTTCCCACTTTAATTACAGCATCCGCAGAGGGAGCCCCGGAATCCTCCCGCCGCCCCGCCTCCCCCTAACCCACCACTTATCCACCATGGGAAAGAGGAGCTACAGCTCTGCCGACTCCGGCCTAACCGTTTCTGTAATGATCTGCAAATGTGCCACTCAGGCATTAACTACAGAATTCTCCCAAACATGTTAATGCTGAGATGCTAAGTGATGGGAAAATATTTTCACCACACAGCTGAAGTTTCCACTCCATAAGAGGGCTGTGGGGAAGACCATATGCTGGCAGCCCGGTATTTAATGGGCGATTGTTACACCAAGACACAAAGTGCAGAACACTTCTGGTGGAGCCCAGGGTCTCCGACCACAGCCCCAGCACAGGCATATGCTACAGGCATGCTCACACCGCTTACCCCGAAGCCAGGCACGCCCGCTGAAACTATATCCCTGAGCTCAGATAAACGTGGACCCTGGGAAAGCACAGCTGTGCAGAAAGGGACAGACGGAGACAGACAGACAGACACACACACACACACACACACACACACACATTGTTCTAATTAA